CATATTGTATTTTTTCGTTCGAAACGTTTCATATTTAGATGTGATATTAATAAATTTTTATTTGAATTAGAGCTCCTGTCAACTCCCTGCAATTATCTTAGTTTGTGACATTTGAGATATTTTTTACCAAATTTTGTAGAAATCGGAAAATTTTTCTGGAATTCATTGCAAATATCGGACGTTAATGCTTTTTCTTCTCTTGATCTTTTTTAATGCTAAACTCTTATATCAAGGCGAACTTATGTAACTAACTTGTACATTAGCTGACCGTATCCGCCAAAAAGATTCAAGGAATTGATCGTGCAATGATACAGTAAATCTCAGCTTTTTCAAAGCTCACATCTATTTATTGAATTATACTTTTGTGTAAAAAAATCTTATAAATTTTTAATGAGTCTCTTTTAAAATTTTCATCTTTCAGAAAAAAATCAATTTAAAAAGAATCAATTTTTGATAAATCACAGAAAGAATTAAATTCAATATCAAAACCGATTTCAACGGTTTAAAATTTCAATTTGTTCATAAATGAATTAACTGTTGCTACATTTATTATTACGAATAAATTTAAATGTAAATTTTTCTAGGCATTAATGTTTATGTTCCATATAATTAAAGAAATTACAAAATGTTTTGCACTAGATCTTCCTCAAGGCATATCGGCGCGGTCAGGCCAATGGTATTTTCTTTATCTTACGCTTTGGCACATAATTCACGTTGCACAATATATTGGTTACGTAATTTATCCGAAGATTGAATACACTTGTTATATATATATATATATATACTACTTATTAACAAATAGTATATCATGTAATATATATAGATATAAACGCACACATTACAAGAAGTATCTCTTACAAAAGCTCCGATGGTCGCATACGCACGTTCGAGGAAATGCAAATCTTCAGAGAAAATAGATACGTAATATATACAGATGGTTATATAAATACCACAATAATTACACGAACAAACATGAAGAATTATGGAAATGATAATTGAAACCTAAGTAGCAAAATAATATCAAAAGACGATATAGTAATTTCTAGTGGCATTTATTATACATTACCATGTCATCTTTTAACTTTCCTTTGCTTAGGACGTTTAAATATATGTATATATTTTTTTTTACGCGAATTTTACGTGGTAGAAGAAAATAAATTTTCAATGAAGTGATATAAGATATTTTATAAAGATTACTTTGCATTATATTAAAATTAATATTCTATCTATTTATATTTATGCTAATGATTATTGCAAGATAGTGTAATAATAGAATAGAAGAACACGTATCATGCGATCATCGAATCACGAATTATTCTACCTTAAAAGCTGAAGTACTATGCTATGAAGTACTTTCTGTCAGTTCTTCACGAGTCGATTAAATCTCGAATGCTCGTCTTCTTAAATTTAATAATACTGATGCAGGTATTCGATGTTCGTCTCTCCGCTATTTTACGTAGTGCGCGTCTTACAAAAAAGTGCGTAGAGAGTCTAAAGATGTAATTCGAGTATGAAGTCTCACTCATTTCAAGTAACTACGATTCATCCCTAAGATTTAATGCTCACTTACAATGGAAAAGTGTGAAATTGACGTATGAGAATAACGTTTAGAAACGATATCGAAATGTGTTACTTTTTTTGCATTGCTTCTTGACTTTACCTTTGCATTATTTTCATCAAAATTAAATGAACATTAATTAAACTGCAACTATATATATAAAACGGAAGATTTTGCTAATAACTCGACTGTTTCATCTACAATACTCTACTCCGTTTAAATTAATAGAAATATTATAACGATAAGCAATATTTACATCGCGCATATTGTATTATATTTTCCAACGAGCTATGAAGAAGATATTTTTATTACCTGTAAAGTTCTTTTGCGCGATATAAAAGTGTCCCGCTACTTATACCTGATGATTATCTCTATCATTCGTATTCTCCTCCTACGTATATATTATTGAGCTTGAGGAGGACGTTCCTCACTAATGTAACGTGGATTAATCGCAAAAGAGTAACCTACGTTAGTATCTATACTTGTACAATATATAATTGTGTAATGTGCTATACAATTACTACGGAGCTAGGATATCTCGCATCGGTGGAAAAATATCGTACTTTCTTGTTGGCATATCATAAATTTGCATGTTTACACTCTTTGGACGTTCCATTATCAGCAACGATGTAAGCTGTGCCGATTATGACAGAGCTTGCAGCGTCGCGTTTCTCTCATGACCACATTTATCGGGTCTCATATTTCTTCTTTCTTCCTATAAACCTAAAGTCTTAAACTAAAGAGGAATAGTACAATAAATGCATTTATTTCCGGTACATTCGGCACCATATAAATGTGCGTTGCACGAGACTCACTTCAGCATGACGCCGAGCTATGTAATATCAGAGGCAAGAGAAATGGGAAGTATACTTTCTGTAGATTCAAAAGACACATGAATATATTGAAGTGCCTTCAGTTTTGTAAACATAAAATATAAATGTTTCAATTCACATCAGAAATACATAATTTATCAGAGCAATATATTTAAAGACCATGCATGGTCTTCGTTAGAATTGTTTTGCTAATTATACAGTTGACTAAGACACTCGAATCGTGTTGTCATTATTTGGAATTATTTTACAGAACGCTCCAAATTTTATAATCCTTCCTTTGTCTTTGATCAAAAAGATTTTTTTATCAAGTTTCTATTGATTAAGGTTTTTGTTCGCGGGCTTATATATGTCGTAAGAAAATCGTTTGAATTTTTATCCCAATTCTCTCGTCTTCGACATCGTAAAATTTAAGATATTCTAATACATTTTGCATGTCTATCCTTAAGGTATTATTATTTTATTACTAGTAATTAATTGGGTCATATGAAAAATCTAAAATTGTTATAAATGTGCATCAAAATCCTTCTCAATTGTATGTATGTATATGTACATTAAGTATATACGTATGTGTATGTGTGTGTGTGTGTGTGTGTGTGTGTGTGTGTGTGTGTGTGTGTGTTTACAAAAAGATATAATATTTAATACTAATTATATGAAAAAGTCAGGCCTCTTGGTTTCTTAATAAAACAAGAGAATGCCTGCCGTTAGCTTCGTCTTATTTTAAGTACAAGTGGAATGTTGCGAAATAGAAGACCTTCTGACTCTCTGCGATTTACAAAAATTGATTACATTATCTACAAATTATTGGTTCCATACATAGTTATCAGTCTGAAGATTGGTAAGTGGATCTTATGACTATCCTAAACGCTGTTCCATAATTTCACATTTTATATATAGTATACAAATGCCTAATTGTTCAAGTATTTTTGGACACGATTAAAGTAGCGTAACAAGAAATTACTTGTTCGTGAAAAAGAAACGGGTTTAGTTATAGTGTAGATAATGCTTTTGTATATAAAAAATACAATAAACACCACAAGACACGCTCAACAAATAACAAGATAAACATACATATAACGGTATGTACAAATATAATATAAAAATTAAATCAATTAAAAAACCAATTAAAGAAAATTTATTTTCAAGAATATAAAATTATAATTACATCAATTAAAGTTTTAACAATTCGTTGTGTAATTCTACTTAAATGCAACAAAAAGTTTCACACATTTCTTTATCCAAAAGTTATGCAGTAGAAACAAGTGAATGAAGGATGTATAATATATACACGTTCGCATAAAAAATTAACTTCATTACATTTCTGTTCCTAAAAAATCGATTAGCTTCATACCGATAAACATTGTTATATATCATTCAATTCTGATATCAATTCTAACTTGCTTTTACAAAGTAACTTCCATAAGATTTTAAAATATTTCCTTCATCAACTTTATTTTTCATGAATAATATTGATAAATGTTATTCAAACCAATCGAAATAAAAACAGAACGGAATGCGATAACATAGCAGTAACGGAGATCATAGCACACAAATTATCACAAGTATATAAGCGTGTAATTCACGTTGTTTCTAGTTCATAATACAAAACGCTCAGTATAAATTCTATTAACTAACGAGCCGGCACATACTGACATTTCATCGATTGAGAAACTTCAATCTCTCAATATACACATATATATCTCTCTTTTCTGTATATGTAAATTTGTGACAGTTCTAGATAGAATTCATCGTACAACAAACAGAATTATATGATTGAGTATACCAAGAGAGTGACGGGGCGGGTCTTATGATTGTCCTTATTGTTTCGTGTTCTCCAAGTATGCCTTAGAACAGGGACGTAACAGTGGAATAGCTGATGCAAGAGATTTGTTTTATATATGACAAACACAATGTTGCAAACAAAGTTATACGCAGTATGTTCTTAATTCGAGAGTATTCAGTTCATTTTTTTAACGGTCACCTGGATGTTTTTTACATTCTAATTAAAACTGTTAATAACGTATTGCATATTATTAATTATTTATTGATATTTTAAAATACTGTGAATATATACTTACAATTTTCTGAAACAGATTAAGTAGAAACTTAACAAACGTGTTAAATAGTTTACTATGTCAGTAAAAAATAAAAATTCTAAAAATAAAAATGACCATAAAGTTCTTTATTGAAAATATATATCTGCAATAAAGAACTTTATGTTCATTTTTATTTTTAGAATTTTTATTTTTTACTGACATAGTAAACTATTTAACACGTTTGTTTAATAACTATTGTTTGTTATTAAAAAAGAAAAAGCATGTGTCCAAAAGAAAGAAAATAATATTTAACAATTGACATTTTCTCGTTGCTAAGTATAAAAATACTCCAAGTGACTATTTTCGGATTAATCAAAGTAGCCATCGTTGTTCTATTTAGTTCTATATGTATATTCTATATTCTATTCGTTTCCTATTCAGGAAAACATTTTTCAATGCATTTTTTATGCAAAATCTTGTGCTTTTAATTTTGGTTTCTACTTCTTGTCTAAAAAAGATGTATAAGTTGATGAAAAAATGAAAAAAACTACGAAACAACCTTTTGCACCAGCTGATTTCGACTTTATAAAGTCCTTAAGTATTCGGTTCTGGAGATCCTATTAATTACGGAATCCCGTTTTAGAACCTGCTGACGGCTTCATCATCGGTGACGAAATAATTAGAGCTTTTCGCGGCGGAACTGTACATGCTGAAGGTGGGGCTGACAATCAGGCTGCTCGTGTTGCTGAACTCCGTTTCGTTCGTCATCGACGAGTGCCTACCGATTGTGGCCAGGCGCTTGTCCTTCCTTGCTAATGTCATACGGCAATCATCCGGCCTTAGTGGCATCGATGGATAATTCGGCTGTCTAGCGAGCGTTGTCAACGCCACTCGGTCGCCCGTGTCATTGAAGCTGCGCAAACGTTTAAAAAATATAACCGGAGAGAGAGTTCAATGATCGGATGTTTTACAGCGAATATTAAACTCTCTTTTAAGAGAATTCATTAAAAGATATTATTTTCCACAGCACTCTATTATATCTATATCTATTATAAAGAATTATAATATTTTCATTTAATTTTATATTCTATACGTAATTATCGTTATACCATGATGTTATTCTTTTTCATTTATTGATGTCAATCTTATGAAATCACTGAAAAGAAAAGAGGTTTTTAGAGAATATTTTTATTGTAATTTCATCATATAATTATTATATTATGATTTGTTGTTGGCAAAAATAAATTCAGAAATATATTTTTTGAAGTTTGTAAGTTAAGATCAAAAGATTTTGAAATGTTTGTACTTAATTTTTAATAATGCATAGTTTTTTATTTGTAACATAAAGATAGACTTTTGTAAGATAGTGTATGTCGAGAAGAAAAAATTCTAAAATCTTTTTATCTAATTTTCATTCCTCGCGTTTCCTCATAGATACCTGTGATGTCGCACGATGCCCCTCTTTATCTTGCAATGCTCAGGCCCGCTCTGTCCCTCAGTCGCGGTCCCATGGGTTTTGCATGCCTCTACCCCCATCGCCGGCACAGGGGATAGAGAGCCTGGTCCGTACGAGCTGCTGCTTTGTCTTCTGTCCAGAATGTTGACTAGTTCCACCGACGGTGTCGGTGAGAATGTGCTCTGAGGACACGCGGCACAAAATGTCGTCTCATGGGAGCTATGTATGGGAAGCTATGGGAAATCTACTTCAATACATACTCCAAAAGCCACGCCAAGATTGCGAGATCGCACAGGATCTCTCTGAGGACCCTCGATTTTCTCAGGGTCCTCATTCTGCGAGGATCCTCCGGATCTTCGCTACTTTTATTGATGAACAATTGTGCTACTGACAAGTAAACCAAACGTATGCATAAAAATAAATATATGCGTAAAATTCAATTAAGCAATCTAGACAAGCAAATAATAATATTTTTATGTTTTCTGTCAAATGATAATAAAATGTTTCAGAATCATGTAGAGGAAAGGAGGCGGTTATATAATAGATGGGAGAACTGTGAAATATTATGATATCTTGTATAGCTTGCGATACATTTTGGGATGAACATCAAAATTACTTCTTATTGTTAGTCTGTTTTAGACGTTATAACATGGCCACATTGGTCATTAATGTTTACTGCGTTATCGTAAGAGCTATATTTCAGTTTTGTGAAAGCGATTTACCTAAAGAACCTTTTCTTATATTATTAGTATCATTCTATGGTTAACAAACTTATAGCAAAAGCAGTTATGTCACATAAAAATATCTACCGAATTACTTCAATAAAACAAAGTGGTATTCCAATCCCTTCCCTTCCTCTACATTGCATTAGCTAATAAATTCTATATTTCAACGAAAATGGCGATACGCGAAGAAAAACAATAAATTAATAAAATCAGTATTTATCAGCATATTAAAATTAAATGTCATGGAGAGAAGCTACGGATGGGAAATATCAGGAGATATCCAAAATTTCTCAAGGGTATTCTCTCTAAGGACATCACCGGGACTTCGTCATCTCTTTATTGACGAGCAATCGTATCGCTGATAAATAAAAAAATATACACATAAGTAAAACCCAGTACATAGAATTTAATAAACTAACTCATACAAATAACTGAAGATACAAAATAAAATGCGCGTAAAAATGAAACGGTGGCCCGACTTGTCCCGGGCTTTATAAAGACGACGATACGTCGAGGTCGTCATCCCTCACCTGCAGCGATGGTCTCCGTAACGTGCCACCCTCCATACCGACGAGCTTCACACCCTTCACGCTCTTCCTAGGACCTACGCTGGCGGGTGGGTTCTCTTGAGCGTTTAAATTGTACTCCATGTTGCTTCTCTCGACGATGCCGATCCTGTCGTTGTTCCGAGGCTTCTCGTTACTGGGTCCAAGCTCGCAGCCCACTTTGGCGTAAGAAGGGGCACACGGAGTGATCGGCGTCGCCGGGATACCGATCGACCGGGTGGGCGAGAGTACCCCGCCCTGAGGACCGAGGGGACTCCGCAGATTTCTCACTGCGAGAATCTGTTCTCTGCATGCGTCGTTCTGTATCGGTGTGTACACCGGGCTCGCCATGGAGACGTGTCGAGCCGGCGTCGGCATCGCGCTACGTAGATTTTGCAGATTCTGGTTTGCTCGTTGCACAACCGACGTCCCAATGCTCTTTGCCTTCGACAGCTCGGCAAGATCGCTGCTGGTCATCGCGTCATCATCGCCGCGATCGACCGCGTCCTCGTGGCCGCAGGTTCTTTCGTCGTCGTAAACGCACGTGCCGACGCCATCGCAAGAATCTATACCCGATGTTGATTTCTGAAAGAGATCGATCATACGTCATCGATCAACCTGGTACGCCAAACAAACGATACTTAATTTATGATGTATAATTACCGAGGATGAATCCATGAGAGTGGCGCCGGAACTACTCTGCATGACGCCCGGCTCCTTGGACTTCTTGGGAGAGTATATGTTCAATACGTCGCAACACTGTGGAAAGTATCCTTTGCCAAGCAGAGTTCTGGTGAGGAAACTAGTGAAGAGTTGAGTAAAAAGGGCTATTATCATGACGGCAGTGCGGAAGGGAAACTTCTGAGTGCGCGTCTTTGCATCGTAGAACGGATATTCAATTAACGGGAGTATGCCGAGTCCTCTTTCACCACCTGAAAACACACACACATGTTTATGCATTTATACTCATTTACTTATGTTCGAAATTTTTAAATGATATTTTAGACAGTTATATGAAAAGATTGAATTTTTCGATAAGACGAATATATCATAAAAATTTTTTAATTTATAAAAAAAGACATTAAAAATGTTGCAAATACTAAAAAGATTTCATAATCTCTTAAAATGATGGAATAATAAAAATCGAAAATGTATCTAAAATATATAAAAGAAATTACAACATTTCATATACGTTTGAATGATAGAACACAAGAGAAAAATCTTGAGATACTGCACTGTGATAATCTTATTTACATTGTTTGAGTAATTAACTAATAATTAGAAATTATATCACTAACCACCGAGACGCAGGATGATAGCGATAAAATATCCCGCCAAACAGCCGTAAGTATCCACCATAGTAGGCCAATGGATAACGGCTAACAATTGCGGGAACAGAACAACGTAGACGAGATCGGAGCACAAGTACCTTCGAATAAAAACGCGACACATTTTATTTGTACGTTGATCGTTGTTTGTACTTATTAAGTCAATTCAATAAATGACAAACTAATTAATTTTGTGAATAAACACGTGAGAAAATGTAAAAAGACTTGAGATAAAAATATAAAAAGTTGATGTTAAGAAGAAAGTAATCATTAGCTGAGAAAAATATAGGTACAACTCGTATTTTTTAGCAATTATTATTGCGACTTAAAGAGAATTCTTTTTTAAATCCATTGCAATAATTGTCTGAGACTTAGGAGCAAATATAGATACATGTCTGTTGTAAGAAAATGAAGAAGAATATGTTTACTTACGAAAGGTAGTAAACACTGCTAACCGTGAGAGCGACGAGAGTAGACAGTACGGAAACAGCGATTACGGCAATTCTCAAGACCCAGTTTAGCTCACGTTCGGATGCCTGGATAGAAATAGAGGCTTCAATGATGTCAGGTGGTACCATCGGTTAATCGGCGTAAATTACACTTACTTTTGGTCGTATCGTGAGTTTGTAAACATTCCTGGTAAACATAGAACTACTAGCGAGTATACTGGAGTCCGCCGAGGACATTACTGCCGCCGAGATCGCACCGAGACCTTTAACGAGATTGGTACAATTGTATAAAAGTAAATTTGACCAAAGTTCTCTTATGATTAAGGAAGTAATTTTGGAATATACGAAAACCTACCAACAAAAGATACCCATTGAGGCGTGAGATATCGCAGGACCATCGGCATCGCAGCGTTTCCGTCTTCCGTAGCGAACGTTCTATTATAACCCGGTACCGAGGACCAATCGGTGGCACGAGCAACTACCCCGATTAAAGCTGATGGTACTGCGAGTATCAGGCAACCGAACATCGAGGCAATTGATAGAGTCGTTGCAACAGAAGTACTCTTAATACTTAGGATTCGTTGAAAATAACCCTGAAGAAGAAAAAAAATGATCGTTTAAAAGTTTCAGTGATATTAAACCTGATATGCGATGCTAAATTATTACTTTCCTACAAATAAGTAAAATCAATAACAAAGAAGCTTAATTTTTTAATAATTTCCTAACAGCACTTTCTTTTTTATAATAGCATTATAAGATTTTAAGACACAGCAGTTTGTTCTCTTTCGCATTTGTCAACTAAATAATCTTGCAGATGTTTGGTTTGAACTTCTTGTCATCCATTTGAAGGATCAAATTACCTGCCACGGTATACCGCCGAACACCAGCAGCAGCATACCGTCCACCCATTCGCCCATGTCCTCACTCTTCACGTATCCCAGCCAGTCCCTCGAGGTCAAATGATTTTCAAATGATACCGCAGGATGTACTAAGGAGAACGGCGCTGCTATCACTAAACCCAGCAGAATGCACAGCAGTTGCAGGGCGTCGGTGCACGCCACGGAATACAATCCGCCGAAGACTGTGTATCTGAAAATACATTTTGCATTTTTCACCTCGCTCGTGTCTCGCAAGTTACATACAAAGAACGTTTCCCAAGTTCTAGGAATCACGCGAGCTATAAATCGATGGATGAAGATACTCCTTAAAAGATTTTTGAAGAAGGCCTAGAAAGAAAAATGGTTCCGAATTGTGATAAAGTGTGCTTAAGTTAAAGCGGAACTACATTGGAAAACTACAACGTATGTTTTCAATTTCAATTCACAATTGTACAAACAATTCTCAGGACTTTATAGAATTAAACAGCCCTCGCATATCGAGCGTGACCGTTTCTGTTATCCTTACATGGCCGCCAAAAGCGCGGACGCGCAAACGCTGATGTTCGGATCAACGCCTGCGACGACGGCGAGCGAGCTTCCCAGGGCTCTCAGGACGGCGCCGCACCAAAATAAATCACCACACAACGCCGGAAGGAAGAGCAAGCCCCCGATGCCCGCGCCATACCGTTCTTGAAAAGGATCCAGCATCGTCACGTACTCGGCCTTCCTCATAGGGCGCACGAAGAGCAGAGCGCCTACAATATAATTCATTGTTGAATGCGACACTAATTAGTATAAAGACCAAAATGCAATGCTATAGAAAATATGAACAATTAAGGATTCGTTTGCGATTTCGTTATTCAAGAATTAAAGGAACATATCAAGTCGAGAGAAAGTCAAGACTACTTCACTTTGACGTCGTGAAAGTCAAAATAATAATTTTTGGTTACAAAATTTAATGTTTATTGGTGATATTTAAGAATCAAAAGAAAGTCATTTTGATTTTTTGTTGATTTTTGTATGTGTTACTTCAGAACCGGATCTATTTTTGCAATCATTAATCTCTTCCGCTATATTTTCTATTTTATGTATGTTAAATATTTCCACATGTGCGACGTACCGAAAAGCAGGCTAAGGCTATATCCGATGGGTACTTGACACCAGGCTAAACCCCTCGTAAACATGGCCTCAGCGGTTCCATTAACGAAAGCTCCTCCAACCCATGTCGCTGCACGTATATAATGAGTAAAAGCAATATCGTTAAAGTAACTGAAAAAGTATTCATATCTCTTCAATTATTGACTTAAAGCAATACCCTTTTGGGAATATTGTTATCGAGAACAGAAGGAGACGATTTTACAAGAATTAAAGGCTTAGAGATAAAATAACGTAATATATTTTAAGTTTGCGTTGAATTTTGGAGATGACCACTTTTTCACAATCTGCCTAAACGTTATAACATAGCTATATTTTATTTTATTATTACTTTGTTGAGTTTTTGTAAAATCTGCATTTCAGTTTTACAAGTGAATATCTGTTAAGTTGCTTTAACAAAACAAAATAATCCCTTTCTTTTCTTTTTCTGTTGCATTAAATTCTCTTATTCTCATATATCATAACAATTGTCGAGATTTGTTACGCCAAGATAAAGCACGTCATGTCAGCGAATTTTTTTGCGTGTAAGTTACACGCGTATAAATAGCGAAACAAATGCATGGTAAATTATTCCTATCTCGTTGTCCAGTTTATACGAAGAAAGAAATGGAAAGGAAATGGGAAAAATAAACGAATTATTGTTGAGAGAGGAACGGAAGAGAGGAAAGGAGATGTACTTGACATCACGTTTTTGTACGGGTATATATCTCGGAGTGGTCATTATATGGTAATGGAGAATGCAAAGAGATATTTAGAATATTCAGTATAGGGGAGAAATGAGAAAATTTGACACGGTTGAATGAAAGTAAAATACGCATATATAGTCTGTAAAAATAAAATAGATTAAAATAAAACGGTATAATGGCTTTCCACAAACACACAAAATCTCCTCGAAAATTGGAGTTAGATTAAAAATAGCAAAGTCAGAAATATATTCGCGCGAGAAGAGACGAGAAAGAATTTTAAATAAGACAAAACTGACGTGAAGATGCAACCTACACTTCCTTTTACGATGTCACTCCTTACAGTACAAAGTGGTTGACATGTGTCGATATCGGAGAGAAAATAAAATCGAGGCGTGAGCACTCTTTTTACGATATAATTCTGTAAAGTCTGATGGAGGATATAACGAGCTTAGAAAAGAGGCGTTTTGGGCGCGGTAACTACTCATGATAGATTTTATCAGTTCCATGAGTGAGTTCAACGCCTGCAGAGATTGATATTTGTGCAATTTTCCGAAGTATAGAGATTTTCAATTCTCGAAATTAGGAAAATTAATTCACGTATCACTACATGCCTTTTTTTAAACAGTTGTAAAAAAATGACAACGTATTAAATGTCAAGAATTAAGAAAGTGTAAAAGGTAATATCATCCATTGAATTCGGGTGAAGAAAATTTGCCGACCAACCCTTCGAATCAGTGGTGAAGGGACTCATAAATAGTTCAAGGAACACAAGGTCAACAAAAAATCAAAATGACATCAAAATCATTTTATTCTGATGCTTACAGTCAATAAACAGTCAAATTATGTAATAAAAATATCATCATTTTGCCTTTTCCTTGACTTAGTGTGTTCTTTGAAAGAGTTTGCAGGCGTAATTTTTTTTTAAATAATATCCACATATTCCGATATCACATAGATTGATCCTTGACCTCTCTGACTTTTTAAAGTGAGTCGATGCAGGAAATTCGTATAATAGACCTACATTGATTCTAATCAGGGTCACGCGTGACGCGATAAATAGATCTGTTGACGCAAAGTGTCAAAATAAATTTTATTTCAATTATATTATGTGAATGAAGGGATCAACCTCCAAGCAGAACAATAGGTCACAATAAATAACCTAAAATGACATCATCATAAAATAAATCGTGACTAATTTAAAAGTAGCTTTTATATAATAATCATTTTAGAACCGTCTTAATGTCATCATGACTTTTTGTTCAGCTCCGGGTAAGGTCAAGTCCTTGAGTTGAGTTCTTAGGCTTTTCCATAAAAAAGTTTACTTAGAAAAAAATTCTACTGACACGTTGCAGGTTTCGCCGAAGCGACATTTAGATCGAATGCGGTAACGGTAACAAAAACGGTCGAATTAATTTCTTTTCTTCTACATGGTTGAGGTACTCGGGGACAATTACCGATCAGGGTGAAGACACCGAGCAACGGGCCGAGACGTCGGTTCGCTAACATCATGTCAGCCTGGAAGTGGCCCTGCGCGACTTGCCTCCTCTTGAACGCGGCGGCCCATACGCCGACGGCCAGCACCGCGATGTAGAACACGATCACGCCGATTACGCCCGTCACGTACACTCCCATTCTCCTCTTCGCGCCGAGTTCTCGTCCGCTTCCGGATGTGTAAGCTCTGCAACTGAATGATTGATAGTAAAAGTAACGTAACTAGAATCGTCTACAGAGAGTCGCAAAGCGTCGCAAAGTATTGTCTCAGTCATTGACAATGAGAAGAGCGTCTATTCTTGTTGTTTTCTTTCTGATTCTTTCAACGAGATTCGTTTCCCAAGTAAAACAAGTCGTGGTAATGTCAAAATGATGTTATAGTAAATGATTGAATTGTAAATGATTGAAAAGTAACTTTTAGTAATCATTTTGGAATGATTTTGACATTACTTTGATGACTTCTTGATGACTTTTACTTGGGTTGACAATATAGGTTCTTTCCAATAGGTTCTTGCACAATAGCTTCATATGAGCAATTTGATTAAAAAAGCATTTAAGATGTTTCTTGTCATTAGTCACAACATAAAGCTATATAAAGCCATAACAGCAATGGTTAACAACCGGATATACGTTATTACGTATTTATCATATAAGATGTATGTCTATTGTAACATGTATTGTAATATGTACTGTAAAACATCCATACAACTGAATATTTTATAATTGTACATTTTCCTTAATTATAGTCTCTCTCTCATGTATTTTGAATAGATCTAATAATAAATATATTTAACAAATCTAATAATAGGACCATTACATCTGTGAACGATCAGCAACGGAGAGACACAGAGGTAGATACATATAGATTAATGGGATGTAAACCCGCGCTCTCGATCAATATCGCGTTAATTATTCCATCTCCTTGATTAACATTGCCCGCATAGGTACGTCTCCACTCATTAGTCAATACAAGCTTCTGGCCTTTGATATTTAAAAATTGATATCCACTGTGGATTCACATTGGAAAGGTAATATGTTCCGAAAGAAGAAATGATTGACATTATCGGAAATATTATTGTAATTTATGAAATATATTAAATTTATTTCATAGAGAGAGAGAGAGATGTTACATTGCATTAACAGACCGTTTTAATTGCACCAAAAGGGATTTTAAAATTGTCAAAAAAAATACGATTTATTGACGCGGAAACATATAGATGAGCAAATATATTCTAATTGTCTTTATGTAGCGCCGCTTTGATAGAAAAGTCACACATCTCAAATTTAGCAACTTTTGAGCGTTTGTAAAATTCTGAATTAGAACGTATACTTATATACATGTATTAATTGTATATAAATGTATAGTTTAATTAAAATGTTGTTTAATTTAGAATTTTAAAGATTCTTTTTTGAAAAAAATTGCTGATTTTAAGATGTATTACTTATTTTTATCAAACAACGCTATATACGTGTGTCTATATATATATATACATATATATGTATATAATTTAATCAGTTATATGTATATAATTGATTAAATTTTTTTTATTACATTCCCGCAAGTAGCAGAGTAACTTTAAAAGACGACATAATAGCATCTAATAGATTAAAATTGATGTCATTATGTCGTTCCTTGAGATTGCTTTGCTTGTACTACTCTATGTAAGTAGCAGAGCAACATCAAAAGACGAAATAATGACGTCCATTTTAATCTAAACATGACTATATATACTGTCTTTTAGTGCCTCTCTGCTACTTGGGAACGCAGCAATTTATTGTTTATAAGCACAAATAATACACGGACGATTAATATGAATTCTTTCTACGAAAGAAACCGATTGCACGAAAAGTTACACGATGCTGAGCTACTCTTTTCTCCGATATCGAGAGCTCTTTTAGCCGTGCACGATAACTCCGTGACCGATGACATACAGGTTGACATTTTACTATTGAATACATTTCGTAGGAGTCTGCGCCGAGGCAGCCCGTCGCTCTCTCGTGAAAAAGCTAATCGAGCGCGACGGCAATAGTATAACGCGGTTTAAAATTCAAGTGTGCCCCAGATATCGGACAGGATGGGTCGCGTAGGGTCGTGACCCCGGGCAACGCGGTGCACCGAGTCACGTATAAAGTTCAGTCGAATTCCGTAACGGTCCTGCATTATTAACTTGCGCGAAACGGTGCTCTCTGGACCAAGAAGGGCGAGAAGCTGAACGTGCTACGTTGACGAATAGAACCTCAAGTGCACGCACACGTGACGGATTAACGTGTACGCGCACGCACATGTGCGCACAAATGCACGCGGAAATAAGCTCACTCAATGAGTGACGAGAAGGAAAGGAAGGAGCAAAGAGCGAGTGAAAGAGGATGCATCGTTTACGATATTTGCAGACGCTATCTCTGGCGTAAATGCAACAAACTTGAAGTATAAAATATCGTGGGGTCGATGTCAGCCTATTTTTTTTTTCTCGTGGAATATCGGTGACGTCTCTCTCGATGCAAAATTTTTGCCCAAAATTCAGACGGTATTGTCGCAAACCGTTTGAACCGAATTAAATTGGAACGCGCACGTCGGACGCTTTTACAATTCTAGTGCATATAAAAACCGTTTGGAGATTAAATTATTAAAGTTCTGCATGGCCGCGCGTACGAGAGAATGAGAGGTATACGTTTGTTTTCTCGCAGTTGGAAAACTATCGGCACGTCTCTTTTAAAACGCGCCTTTAAAGTGCGCTTTTACGTTACGCGCTTGCACGTGGACAGTTTTAGAATACAACCGCGTCAATTGATGATCTATTTAATATCCATGCTATATATAAAGAGACAGCCGCGGTTATATACTTAAACTTCAATAATCGATAAATATACTTGATTGCAGTAACATTTCTATTCCAAAATGATAATTTGGGAGAAATTAATTTAATGAAAAGAAACAAAAGGTTTTGAATTAAAGGGAATATATTTTTCTCTTGATTTAGAATTAATATTTTATGTAATAAAAATATATACCGTTAATTATTCTTACGCGTTATAAATAATCTAGAATAAAAAGTTATCTGCAAATTAAGCTTGGAAGATAAAAATGAGTAGCGAAAAAGTTGCTTGTTTTTTATTTAGGTATATTTGATAAATTGATTAAAGTTCAGATTTAATAGTTTGATTTGCTGCAGGTAATCATAAAAATTTATGAAAAAAATACAAAAAACAGCGCGTCTTTTTCCTATTCTTCATATCAAAAACTTAACACTTTTTATTTGTTTTTAAAAAATTGAAAGAAAACACTTTTATTATCAAGAATTGTAGAAGTTAAGTGCTTTATCAGCACACTTATGCTGCTGATAAAACACTTCTATTATCAAGAATTGTAGAAGCTAAGTGTTTTATCAGCACACTTACATGTATGTTTGCTGAACTCGTCGATACGCGAAAAATGAGCAATACGTTTGCGCTACTCATTTAAACGGTTAGGTTATAAAAATGTTTAACGTATTGAACGTATTGGACATATAAAAAAATGGCTTTGTGTTTCGGTAAGAACGAACAATACCAGATTGAGTCTTAATTTTTTTTATTTAGCATCCGACAAATATGCAGTTATCTCGCTTTAAAAATGCGATGTCGATGGCGAGTAAATTTACTTCTTCGTGGTAGGAAGTAATCTTTTGTCGATAATGTGCTCACGCCTATGATCTCATTATCTCACCGACGCAAAAATAGAAGAATATAAGCTAATACATGCTTGGTCGTGATGAAGGGTAAGCAGCCTTCAAAGGGTGAGGGAAAGCGAAGAAAAAGATGTGAGAGGCGACTGACGATAATTTTATGCAAAAGCGTCTTTCAAGGCTGAACAATCGTGGAAGAATTTTTCAACAGGATATTCCCAATTGAGAATATCACGGCCGATTATAAAGGGAAAGAAGTAGGTAGAGAGAGACAGAAAGAGAGAGAGAGAGATTATATTTGCTATATCATGGGAGAAGAGCCTCTCGAAAGGGATATAAAGGTTGTCGAGGTAACCGGGTGGAAATATAAACGAAACAGAAATGAAATACGTGAACTATCATATATCGATTTTGCCACGACAAATGTTTAAAAATAGCGAACTTAGTATTGTTTTATATCAGGTGTAGAAATTCGATGTGCTTGCAATAGAGATTAAAAAATTTGTAATAATTTACTTCAATTATAGATAACTTTTGAACAAAATTAAAGCGTCACTTAAAATCAGCGTTAAAAGCGTTAAATTCAAAAATATATATTTTTGTGTAAAATAGTCGTAGAGAGATGTTTGAAAAAAACATTTTAAAGTTTAAAATCTCAGTTTTTGAATACTGCAAAGCTTATTTCTTTCGAGATCGTTTACGGAAAAATTTTTTGTGAAAAAACGATATTATATTGTAAGAACTATCCTCCATAAATTCGAATTCTTCTTATAATGTCACGATTAAATGATTTTTCCAATCAATCTCCAAATTTACAGGAATTCGTTATAAGAAAATAGATATTTTAATATATATTCTTATAAAATAGATATTCTTTGAATCTTTTTAAATGTTATCTTTAATTTTGTTAAATTTGACAATTATTAATATTATAAATTATTAATTATATAGACAATCTCTCTATTCTTTTTTCTTTCTGATAATTTTCTGTTAATTTCTAATAGAACTTTTATGGCTGATTTATCTCTAAGGTTTTGTTACGCTCACGTAAAACGACATTGCTAATTCTTAAAGAATTAAGATGCGCAAACTGTGACAAATAATATACCACGCCATGTAGCTTGTCTTTAAGTATTATTCATCATCAAGTATTGTTTCAACTTTAATGTATCCGTCAGAGCAAAATACTTCCGCATTCAAATAACAGCTGCGGTTTTCATCTCTCCAACAATACAAAAGACATAAATATCTCTAATTGTAGAAATGGTGAATGATTAAAATTTTTTTAATTACCTAATTTTATCGTACTTATTGTTAACAATCGACAAGTGTTCATTTACCTTTCAATCATATACCCTTCAATATACATTGATAATAGTTTCAAGTTTTAAACTATAATGTTAATCGCGTCTTTTTAACTTTTAAAATTAGATATACAAAATTTATTTAAGCTCATTTTCATGAAACGCTAATGGCATCAATTGTTATTCGATAAATGCAAAAACATTGAACACAAAAGTATGGAGCATAATGCGATGGCACAATATGATTATCGAACTAAGCAAAAATTCAATGCAACACCGCCGTTAACAATACGTGTGTTATAAAATTAGAAGCGAAATTTTGGCGAAGCTGAAAAAGAAGCTATGTTAGGAACGAGGTTCAAGAAACTGATTGCTCGTAAATCATTAGTAATATTCCGTGAAGCTTCGTAAAAACCAGCAAAAACCGGAGAGAAACAAAGATTCGTTTAAACCGAGGCGTACTTGGCTCGCTTTCGACGCGAGTAAAATCAGCGCACACAGTTTATCTTTGAACACGAAAACCGGACCGTTCGTTGCCAACTTTTCGTGCTAGTCAATGTCTTACTGTCTCAAACGCCGAGCAGCCGCGAATCGATCCGTGCTTTATTCTTCGATTCTATTCTCCGAGATAAACATAAAAGAGGAAGACACCTAATTGCAATCTTGTGCCTCTTTCAAACGATCTCTCTGAATAATGCAATGTACAATAACGTGAGTGATAGCGCCAAAACTTTTTTCATAATGGTTTTATTTTAGATTTAATAGTAGTAACAGTTCAGGAAACATTCCCCTAATCTTCAAAACTTTTAGAACGAATGTCATTCTGAAGAGTGAAATTTCACTCTCAAAGATTGAAAACTGAGCCACTCTTTTTCAAGACTGATTCAATTTTCACTCTTTAGAGTAAGATTCCACTTCAAAGAATTTAGAAAGTAAGAACAATATAATGGTCAGATTAAGGAATTTATTCCTTTTCTTTTTAATGCAACGGCCGTATAAGGGGAAAGCAAATTAATTGGTTTTATGAGTTTGTGTAACTATATCTAAAACCGTCTACGCCCAATTTTAAGTAAAGTTGGAACAATATAGAATTATGCGTGTGTGTGTGTGTGTGTGTGTGTGTATGTGATAAAAAGAAGTTGTTAATATAGCTCAGAAATCATTGGACAAAATATAAAACACGTGCTCAGTCTGCTTATTACTAGTTTAATTGACATTTTTATTCGAATCATTATTATTCATATCTTTTATATGAAGAGATCTAGGGCCTCTTTTTCCAGAATTAAACTTCTTGTTTGGTTCATCTTTCTTTTTCTTTCCTTGATTAATGTTCAGATTTCCACCCAAGTGTCATCCAGATATTATTTTATTTTTGCTATTTGCCGAGTATTAAGAATCAAATGATACCTGGGAGACACTTAGATGGAAATCTGAACATATCCTTAGATAAAAAAAGATGAAAGATGAGAGAGAGAGAGAGAGAGAGAGAGAGAAAGAGAGAGAGAGAACAGTTCACAATCTGAATTGTCCTATATGTGTAGCATCCAAAATCGGATTCTCAGGAATTATACAGATGTACGTGCCTACCTGAAGTTTAGGCGTAGCATCGGGCAGCGTAGAAAGTCGAGCAAACGGGAGAAGGAGGAAAAGAGAGAAAGACAGAAAGAGAGAGAGAGAGAGAGAGAGAGAGAGAGAGAGAGAGAGAGAGAGAGAGAGGGAGGGCGAAAGAGCACAGAGAGAGAGTGAAAATTTCGAGTCGTACTACTTACCACCGGCTACCCCTGCAAAATCACGTAGTGCATCCCTTTCACGCGGACGTACCCATCCCACCGCGTGTGTCTCGATTTCCTTTTCGCCGCGACGAAGAGCTCTCGCCGAGGAAGGAAATCGGCTCCTCTAGCTTGCGGCACGCGGATGCAGCCTCGCACACTCCGTCCGGGTGTTAGCCGTGTGACAGAGAGAGCCCAGGCAATACGACTGAATCTCTTCTACGAATTCAGCATCCCGCACGGCTAACACGCTGGACCGCCACCACCTTGCTGGGGGTAGCGTGCGCGTCACGGACAAGGACGGAGCGCCGGTCACGCGCGCGCGCAAGATACGAATGTATAGGGTGGTGCAACCGGAAGATGGGTGATCCCGCGATGCGAAGACAGGTTGGAAATATGGAAAACTTCTTTCACTTCTCGTAATATCTGAAGAAGCGATTGACTTTTTTTTAGGCAAATATTGAAAATTGGAAATCCAAGAAATTTCATCGATCGACTTCTACGTATGTTGGATACACGAACCAAATTACTTGAATACACAAAACTTTTATTAGATTTGATGGAAAAATTAATTTAACATTGAATATCCAAGAAACGATAACACGAACATGATGGACGATAAAACTTTCGTCTATTTTAGCTAATTGAAGTGATTGAAAGTAATAATGATAATTCGCGAACACCGTGTACATGAATAAAGAGCGAGCGAGCAAAAGAGAGAAAGAACTGATCCAACTAGGAGCTATAATAGAGGGGACGGGACGAACGAGAGAGAAATATAAGCTCGTGGCAGAGTAGGAAAAAGATCTATGTAAGGATAGAGACGATATAAGGACGAGAGGCGATGCAGGAAAAATTGGTAAAAGTAGAGAGAAACAGTCACGAGGAACGGGTCAATGTTTCAATGTGATAAACGATACAGTGTCAATGCTACGAGGCCGCAAGTATCACAGAGCAACGATTGGATGGATTTTAGAGAAGCGTGAAAAAAAAAAAATTATATCAGCAGGCGAAGATAGGAAAAGATATATCCGAGCGCGAGGGATGAATCGAAGGATATCTGCTTAGAACGAATAGGATATGTTGAGCTTACAGCAGACACAGAGTCTTCAAGATATTCAATCGAGCGAGAATATTAATAGAAGACGCGGAGAATGTGGGTTAGAGTAAAAGGTAGTAGCTCTCAGAGAGGAGAATTGTAAGGATCGCAGATTAGGGGGGAGGAAGAGACGTGGTTGAATCGATAGGCTTAAATATAGAGAGCTGAATAAATTTAAATTGAAAGAAATTTATTTAAAAAACCCTATCGTACGTAAGATCCTTCCTATATATACATAGTTTTCAATGTTATTATTATTACGTCAGACATTATTACGTCACAAAAAGAAAGAGGGCTAAAGCAAACGTTAAAAGGTACAAAAGGAATGGCAAGTATGGCAAATGGAAGTAATCGAGAATTAAAATATAATCTCACATCAGAGACAACTCATGTGAGAGGAAAACAGGTAAAATACAAAAATACACAAAAAGAGAGAAAGAAAGAGGAGCGGCGCGAGATGAAAACAGTAAGAGAGAGAGAGAGAGTGAGAGAGAGTGGGTAAGAGACATGTTCATGTGCGGGGGACAGACCCCGTATTGATCTGTTCGCGCAAACTCCTGGTCCTTAGGCTCCCTCCGCGACCAACCCTCGCCACCGCTTGTCGCCACCCTCGTCCTGTTTCATCCTGATTTCCAAATGCATGGTTCAGAGTCCTCTGGAGGTTCAACTATGATCCCGTTGTCTTCACCGCTTATTTGAAATCCCAATTGACACACAACTTTCTCGCCGTCTCGCTTGATCCCGAAGGCACACATCAGGAAAGTCTTCTGAAAATCGTTATTTCTTTAGCATTTACTGCAATCACCATCTCCAGAGAAAATATCAAATATACTAATTCGACACTTATTTTATCTCACCTCCTTTTCCTTATGTAACTATTTACAGCTTCCAAATTGTTACGTACTGACCTTTCCAAGGTTACAATCTAGATTAATCTCTCTCGGCTTTTAGAACGAGAAACAAACGTAGGCAACAATAGAGGTTTTACGTCAGTAACGTGCAATTATGCAGACGTTGAAGGAAGTCATATTGGAAGTCACATTAAAATCAGACGCTTTATCTAACCAGCTGATTAAATCGTATCTGCTATGCGCTAATTCTCAATTGCCTACGGTAGAATTAATTCCTATTTCATGCGAAGCTTCGCGGTAATATCCGATCGTGCTTAAATGCGCTCTTGCAAAGCTAATTGATGTAATTACCAGGCCACCTTGAAGACGCACCATGACCCTGCTCCTCGGGTCATATAGCTTGACAAGGGGTTGTCTCTATAGAGGGTGCGACCGATGCGTTTGTCGCGACATTAACGTCGATATCAACACACTTCTACATGCTTTCATCAATAATGCAGCAGCTAGAACTTTCTTAATCTTAGCTGAAAATTGCTCGAATTGCAAAAACAGATAAATTAAAAATACCGATAAAAGACATAAATTATCTGAACTTGTGTAAACGTGCAAGACTTTTCGAATCTACTCGTACATTCGTTGATAGTTAAATTAATCTCTCTGATCTTTCAAGAAATGAAAATTTATAAATTAAGAATTTACGAAACGACGTAAAATTCTTTTTAACTTGTCCCATAAACATCTTTTACGGGGAACGGGAAGTAATTACGTAGATAATGATAGCGGTTTTACGTCAACGATCGAACGCGTTAACGATGTTGCGGACCAGCGTGATCGACGGATGGGGAACAATGTTGTTTTCGTGCTTTGAACAAGCTGTATCGTTTTCAACGGTAGGCGGTCGACGTTTAATTAAATGTCGAAGGGAGTCGAACGGCTGTCCTGACGGGACAGGTATTTGGTCAGACGAAGGAAAGGGAAAGATACGGAAAAGGTAAAAGAAGAAAACATAGACCGGAAGGGTTGGATAAGTGTCGCAATGGATCAGTGCAAACACAAATAATTACGAGAAAGAATGAAAAGTGTTGAGAGAGGTTTCGGACATAATAAACGAGATTTTTTGAATTTGCAATCTTTAGAAATTCTAATTAAAAAACTCAACTCTAATTTATAAAAAAGAATTGCATAAAGAGGTCAATAGCGCAATTATAGAAATGCTCTCTCCCGAATTAAAGAAAATATATAATTCCAGGACATTTATTACCAAGCCTTAGGATTCCTTATTTCTGAGGAAATTTCTGAAACGAGGAGACTTTGGAAGAACGCAACGAAATTCGTTCTCATAGCTTATCGCTGTGTAGGCCACGAGTCGGAAGCAACTTGAGAAATCTCAGACGCGGGTCAACGCATATACGAAGCGCTGTAACGCCGGGTGAGATAGTGCGACCGTTGGTCCTTTATTTGATCAGGAAATTTAATTCCTCTATCTGGGAACGGACCCCGTGTGATCTCAGAAATAGGAAGGATGAACTCGGGTGTAACCGAAATGATCAGTAATTATTATTTGGTGACTTACATTGTTTATTTTCCATTAGTTATTCTGACTATATTAAAGTCTAAATGAAAGATACGAGAACTAATATAATTGAAAAATTAAGAGCATATTTTAAATTACAATTATATGTTTTTATGTACGCATGTGTATGTGTGTGTGTGTGTGTGTGTGTGTGTGTGTATTAAGAAGGTAGGTGAGTTTAAGTGATTCAGCAAGATTTTCCAATGAACGGAAATCTCTTCGAAAGATCTATTTTCCTCTGGAGAAACCGAAGATTAGGATAGGGTAGGAAATTCGGAATATGAAGAGGGTTCGGTGGTAGTTTAAAAGGAGTCTGTTAGTTGGGCTGAAGATTTCTCGAGATTCCAAGATTTTTATTCAAAGTTTATCAGAGGGATCATATTGTCGAAGGGTCTATTACTGTAGCGAATCCGGTTAAAAATTCTACGCTATTGCGCACGGACCTTCTCCATAATAAATACGCAAGTTTTTATTTTTGTTATGATCGGCTTTTCAATATGATTTTAGTGCTTCGATCCTAGTCCGCTTCTTACGTCCCGCGCGGTGTTTTTATTGAGTCGGATCATCTATTTCCCAAAAATTATCTCTTTAATTAATGTTACGCTTACTTCCGAACTTGGGAAACCGTGGATGTGAGAATTAAAAATCACTTGAAGCGATTTACCGCTTAAGTAACTCATAGGGTAGATGCGAAATACTTGAAACGATTTATCGTTTAAGTAACTTAAAGGCAGGATAGTTGCGAATTATTTGAAGCGATTTACAGCTTAAGTAACTCAAAAGCAAGATAGTTGCGAATTATTTGAAGTGATTTACCACTTAAGTAACTCGAAGATAGAATAGTTGCGAATTATTTGAAGTGATTTACTGCTTAAGTAACTCGAAGGTAGGATAATTGCAAATTACTTGAAGCAATTTATCGCCTAAGGAGTATGGCCTGCACCTTAGAGCAGGCATAAAAACAGTAATAAGTTAATAAATTTTTGTAGTTTAAAGAATAATTTAACATAAAATCAAATTAAACTTAAGCATCAGTGATGAAAACAATGGAAACTTAGGTATTAATTATTTAACAATATTTATAAAGTATAAAGACTTTTATTTGTAAAATATCATAAGAAATTAGATTATTAGGCTACATATTTTTTTAATATTATACTAATTTGTAGTAAATCTAAAGTTACAACTGTTACAATTAATACATGAACAACTTAGTACTCTATTATTATAATCTAATACCTATGTATATTCGTATACTTATGATATATATATGATATACATATATGATATACATATATGTATACATATATATATACACACATCACATACAATTATTTATATCCAACATAAATAACGCTTTCATATATACTATATATGTATAATGAAAACATTATGAAGAAATTACAATAATAAGATCGAACTTAGAATTAGATTATAATATAAAATGTATTAATTTTTTTATTTCATTAAACGTATATACTAAAAAGAAATATATGAAATTTAAATTGTTATACATATATATATATATATATACAATGAAATAGTACATATTTCATTTAAAATAAAAACAGCATTACGAAATAATCCATAGCGTACTTAAAGAGGCGGGAAAGAGCATTTATTAAGGAAGAGCCTCCATTAAATTTTGATAAGAAGTAAAGATTATGAGAATCATTTTTACGATAAAATTCAACACGCATTGTCCAACTCACGTATTATTTATAAGGAGGTTCACAGAAAATCCTCTCAAAATAAGTATTTCTATAATAATTTTGTGTGAATAAATTGTCGCTTAATTCTCTCTTGATTAAAATCTTAAATGCTTATACAAAAGTAATGTATATAACATAGATATAAACAGACTTAAAAATCTATAGATGTAAATGGATCTAATCTAAAAAGCATTGAAGTTTTTAATTGTAATTTAATGCGTCATGACATTATCAGGACTTTTTCTAGATATTTGAAATAAATAAAGATATTAAAAAAATATATATACGTATATAGTATTCAAAGCAAGAAAAAAAACGCATTCTTGTCTTCAGTCTTTCAAAAGATATCTTATTTTTTTAATTTTTTTACGAAATGTTTTCTTTATTTTATTGCCTTATATACTAGAATATTTATTGTTATACTTTGTTATTTAGTGGTTTAAGGGGATGCTGGAGGTTCTGTAATTTTTCATAACTCATTTACTCTTAATTCTATTTACAGATTGAAAAGTCCTCTATAATTAAAGTATCGACAACAATGTAGGTTGACAGTTACAATTTAATATAAAAAACGAAAGAAAATTGAAGATTTACAGTTTTGTCATCGGCTTTTGCAGTCGACTCGTCACAATATGTGCTGCGTATAAGAGTTTTAGGCCTTGCGCGTTTAAAATAAGTATAGCTATCAATCTACAAAAAACTTCAAAGAACAATACTATGCTTATAGAAACTAGGTAAGGACTTTAGATTAAGAAAAAAGAGTCATGGAAAATTTCGTTTGTATACTACAAGTAAAACCATAAAATCGAGCAGGTGTCTAACAGTAGGTGCTCGATCTTGCAAAAAATGGCATTGCAATATGTTAGATAAGAGCAGATGAATGCGCTGAAGTGAGACACAACGATATACAATGTAATATAAGAAATGACTGAAAGATGTCATTATATATCATATTATCGAACTGGGAATTAAAAGCCTGTACTATTGATCTCGATCAAGTTGGGTCAGTCCAGCATCCCCTTAATGCCCATTTCCACCAATGCAGATTAACTTTAATCTCGGTTTAAATTGCTTTTTGTTTTTTTATAGTTCTAAAAATTTTATAGTTCTAAAAAGATAAACAATAAGGTAAACCGAGATTAAAGTTAATCTTTATTGGTGGAAACAGGCATAAGTAATTTAAAGGCTATGGGATATTTTTGCATATCCTTTCAATTATTTTCTGTTCTTTCAGAAAATTTCTTGCAATTACTCTATTAAGTTACTTGTTTCGATTTTGGTGAAAAATAAACAGATCTGATCAGCGTCGTCGTCACTGACGATACCTGTTTCTTGTTATCTAAAGTCTTGAAAAGGGGATTGACGGAGGCATGTTCCGTGGCAATTTTTCGCGCTGTTGTAGTCAATATATTCATTAAATCCATTGATGTTCCATGTTCATCCAAGACGTCGCATAAACTTTGTATATACCATGTTCCTTCATCGGGATTCCTCCAAGTATAATAATCTTAAAATAACAGAGAATTACATTGAACGTATTTATGTATATTAATTCATCAATTTATCAATAATATTCTCTCTTTTGTAATGTTATTTTACAGTGATTCTTTTTAGTTATATATACTAAAAGGTTTATTCTCCAGAAACTGATCAAATATCGTAAATCCAAACTTATCTAATAGATTGAATTATCACAAAAAAATAATAAATTTTGTCTTAAATAAATGTCATAAATAATATATTACAAATCAGTTTTTTAAATACAGCGGAACTTTCACTACGATCATGTAAAATGATAGGTTTAAAAAAGTGGCTTGCATCATTATTTTTATCTTTTTACATGTATATACAAATGATTAAAATAATTCATGTCACAGTTAGTTATTAAGAGTGTGCAAAGATTTTTGTACGTATTTGAATTTATCGTACATATTATACGTACTTTTGCATATCGCAATATTAAAAAGAAATAAATCTCATTTTCGCAATATTTTGTTTAAAAAAGAAGATTAATTGTATTAACCATTAGCTCTTTTCAGTACAATATTCTAATATGCCCTTATCAAATAAGCACTGTAACAATTCTGTATATAAGAATATTAAAATAGTTAAACGATATTTACTTTCCGCTGAACTATGAGCTAATAGAAAATCCGCTTGAATTGGAATAGAATAAGAAGAACCGGAATCAGTCTCCGTTCCTTTTAAAAAGTGAGATGCTATCAGTTCAACGCCGTCATCGGTTTCATCGCCTCTACAAGCCTAAACAAAAAATTATAGACGAGCTAGACAAACTGAATAAAATAAAGATAAAGCTGCAAAACGAGATACGTCGATAAGATAAAAATAGAACAATATTAAAAATATTAGTTTTAATTCACCTGGATAATGAACAGCTTAGGTTTCCCCGCAAGCGTCAAACATTTGTCGGCAGTAAAAATCTTCCAAAGGTCTTTGGAATCGTACATGCTGTCGCTCGCCCATAACATGTTTTTCGAATAACCGTGGGTTAATGCAATGACACAGAGACAGTCATTATCTGTATGGTCGAGCTGACTCACTGTTGCATGTAAGTACAATCGTGCGAATGTTGAATTAAATAAACACACATATGTATAGAAAGAATAATTTTACTAAAATAAAGCATCTAAAAATTTAGGTGCTATTATAAATACGAATGCGACAATAATTTTATTAAATTATCAAAATAATTTATATGTAAAACATTTTTCAGTGTTGACAATGCTGTAAAAGTCCTACGTAAAAAAGTGAGTTTGTGAGTGCAGAAAGAAAAGAGCAGGAGCCATCAAGTTTTTCAGTAGGTATCAACAGAAACTGTTTAATTTATATATAGTTCTATTTAAAAAACTAAACATTATTTTTGAGAATTTAAATATGAAATTTAATAATATCTTTAAAACATTTATATCTAATGTTTATATCTTATTTATATAAAATGTTTATCTATTAAATAAAAAACTTATATTTCAAATTTAAATTTACATGCTTTTTGCACTCAAAATTAGACTTACATTCTTTCTGCATTTGAAAAAATAAAAAAAAAGTTTGTAGTAGCTAGCCACAAATACTTCATATATCTGAAATAATGTCTTTTTTTATATTGAACAACAATCATTTTTCTTTATATTAATATGTATAAGATAATTTACACAAAACTTTTCGAAAACGTTAGAGTTAAAATAGTGACTATTAAAATATCTCTTCTGACTGCTTTTCAAGTTCATTCGCTGGCGATTCGAAAAATCTCATTAAAAAACTTCTACATTCTAAGAGGGGATAAAGCATTCCATTTTTTCAAATCTTCAATCTTGTGTGTAAGTTCTGAACTTATATTATATCCTTTCTGCACTTATTACTCATTTTTAATATCTATCTTAAGTTGTTAAAATTAGAAGTCTAGAATAAGTTCCTTATATTTGCACTAAGAGTGTATCAATCCATTTCAAGATCAATGAGCACAAAAACTTATTTTTTTTTTTAATTTGGACTTGTCCCTTTTCTACGCTTGCTAAGAGTTAATTATTTTGACGATAAAACCAAAATTATTTTCAAATTTGTATTTATATTTAACTAAATATTTAAATACTTTAGTAAAATTCATGTTACGCGGCGCTAGAATTTTGCACTAAGTAATACATAGTCAATACTTAAAAGAAGACCAATGTAAAATAAATTAATGTAAAATGTGATGAATACTTTTACCTTTCTTCAGCACGTCTTGTATTTCGTCAAACCGATAGTTATTGTAAACTTCAATGTCGAATCCGAGATTTCCAAAAGATTTTTCCAATCTTTTTACATCATTTTTAGAACCCTCTCGTTTCATTTCTGTAGACACAATGAAATCTTCTTGATTGAAGATTATGCACTTTCCGCGATTTTTATGATTCATGTTATAACAGTTTGCATCCATTTCAACTGGCATTTTCGCAGTAAGTTTTGAAGTGTTCGGTTTTTTTTCGGTTCTAAAAAAAAAATACTTAAAAAGAAGATAGAATTAAATGCTAAAAATATTCAAAGTCAAATATAAAATTTAATCTTTAGTGAAAAAATCTGTTTTAATATTAATGAATAAAATGTAATTGGAAATATTTGTGGTGATTAGAAAATGACTATAATTAACAGTAACAGTGAAATTAAATGTAGAATTGTGAGTATTTAACATTTTTTAGTAATAACTTTAAAGAAATATTTATATATATTTAGTACAATACAACTCGTTTAATTGAAAGTTAATTTTTTATTTAACTCTCTGAATTATATATGTATAATATTATTTTTAAGATAATATTTTTATTTAATTTACGCTTTGTTTAATTACTTTTCGACTTAATATTATCACAAAAATCTATCGAATTAGTTTTTCAGAATGTTTCTGATATCTCTGTATATTATCTTTGTTAATATTATACCTTTCATCTTCTTTCATTTTCTCATATAATGAGAGTGCAGCATCGGTTGTGTGTGATTTCTCATTGGATTGTTCAGCTTCTCGTTCATTGTTCGTTTTTTTGATTATTGGATATTCTCGGGATGGTCCCGGGATACCCAAATTGTCCATATGATGAGACTCAGATACTGCCTAAGAAAACGAATGATTTACATTGTAAAAGGATTTATATCCTGCCATTCATATAATTTTATCATATTAATAATAAAGTAAATAATTTATAATATCTATATCGTTGTTAAAGAAAATTAATTCCGTTCAATCAATTTCGTTCAAAATGTAATAAAAATCACTTAAATGTGATACATTCGGAAAATGTTTTTTTTTTATATAACAATATAATTTTTCTTTCTACATATTTTTTATAATAATAATATTGTACAATAGTTTTGTATTATGTATTATTTTGCTTATTGCTTGTACAAAGTAAGACACTTTTTATTTGGAAAAGTAGTTATCATGTAACAAAAATACTATTCAAGTAATTATTTAAATAAAAATTATTTAAATTTAATCAAATGCTATTATATATTCTGTGTACTTAGCCCAGATAAAACACTAATTTAAGACTCTTACGTATAATTTGAATTCGATCAGTACGAGGCTTCGTAACCACAGGTCTACATACATAGTAATCCGTAGTACTCGCAGATAGAGATTTGGTCCGACGACGTTTTGCTCGCTCAGTCATAACCGCTAATAAGTAATGTTTGAAACCAGAAGAATCAACCACCGATTTGGATCTCTCTTTAGGAATTGAGTCAAACGATGTATTTTCTATCTTGTTATCCATTTCCATCTGAAAAATGATCTGGTAATTAATTTAATTTAAAATTAATTTTAATGTTTATGTATTAAAGGATTTCTTTACCATACAGTAGACGTGCTAAATAAACACTAGCAAATGATTTTTCAAAATAAAATCAAACACAATAAGAAAAAAGAAGAAAAATAAAAAGAAAAAAAATATAAGATTACATACACAAGTAATATCAAATACATACACAAAAATATTATCAAGAATGTACAATTTTAACAAAATATTTGTAAAATAATGAAGAAAACTCTGCTGAGAATTTTTACCTTATTGTTTGATTGCTTACATAAGTTTATAACTGTAATGCTAATTCTCTACAATGTGCTCTTTGTTTCTTAATGTTTCTTGCTATTTGTCTCTTGCCTCTTTTGGTCCAAAAGGCAAGAATGGTCAAGAAACAACCAGTAAGAAACAGAAAACAAACAGCACAATTGTAGAATTACCATAAGTTGTAATACTAAAGGCTCGGGATACTAACTTGACTATTAATGCCGGATCACGAAGGACCAGCTACTACTATAAACTAACGAAAAGTATTAGTGAAAAGAGAAGAAAGAGAAGGGACCATGCGCTCGAACTTATATATAGGTGTTCAAAAAATAACCGAATTCCTGGCTTTTTTTTACAGACATTAAATTAGTTAACAATTCTTAGAAGGGTAAGAAAAGGCACGTTGAAAGTAAACGAACTTTCTAGTATAATAGGACGTAAAGTAAGTCCGTAAGTGTATATATACAAAATAGTTGAAATTCATTTTCTACGTTCTCTCTTATATCAACTTTCTTATTGCTTACAGACATAATCTGTATTTTATTAAGGGTGCGTTCCACTTAACGTTCGCAACGATCACGCGTACCATCTCATCCTTATTTAATATTCGATTATAAGAAGGACAAAATGATCCTCGCGAGCGTTGCGAACGTTAAATAGAACCCACCCTAAGAGGCTGCGTTCCGTTTCTGGCATATGCGCCGCATTTTATATAGTGAGCGTCACGTATACTATAAGGGAATGAGCGCATTATGCGTGAAACGGAACGCAGCCTAAGGGTACAGTCACATGTATATATTATGAGATAGGCGCTTAACATGAGATAGCGGCGTTTCTGCTAAACTAATAAATGCTATCTGTTGATTCTATCATGAAATTATTGCTCTTGGATTGAAAACTATTTAGTGGAAAATTCATTGTTAGATCATACCTACAGTAATTGTAAAATAAAATTTTAGAGTTTGAATGTTTTCGAGTTTCATTGAGATAAGCCTTTAATCTCTGTTTATTATTTAATAAGTAATTATTTGGCAATAAATTCTTCATGTAGTAATAGAGTAAGATCGTACTGATAGAAAAATACGAAATATGTTGAATTGTTTAATTAAAGAAGTTAGATTTGATGATCGTAAAGCTGTAAGACGTGATACTCGTAATATGAGATACCGAGGATATTTCTAATATGAAATAATCTATACTTCTGTGCCCAAGTGAAAATCGATGTTAAGGTATAAATGTTATGGTACAATAATAAAAAGAATAACCGGAATGAACATTGAGGGTCTGTTTCTGCAATACTTCATTCCAATTACTACTGAAGGCAAATCCTAAATACAATGCATCACATGCTCAATTTAAGCGCATAGGCTGTACTCGTTGATATGTTAGAAACATCAAATAAAGTTTTTTTAATTCTAATACTGATGTACTTTGTGCTTTATTATCGATTTCTCGGGGTATCTCATACTAGGAGCACAATTTTTCGACTTTGCGATTTGTTCACTTTTTACATTTCTTTAATTAAAAAATAAAATAAAATTTGAATTAAATTTTACATAACACTATCTTAAAGCTTATTAAATTCTCTTCAAAATGACCTATTATTTTTTTTAATTCTACCAATAAACAATTAGTAATTACACAAAATGAACTCGGTATCTCATAATAGGGGCCTCTCCTCTAACGTTCAGAGATACATGAGGTTTGTTTGCGTCGCATGCTTCAATATATTGCTACTCGCTCCTACTCACTTCAATGAATGCATTGAAATGAGTAAATAAAGCTATGGTAAGACTGCACGTAAGAGCAGGTAGAAACATGTGGAGCATGGGATGTGTACGAGCCTATAAAGATACACGCAGAGAAGACAATAGAAGACAAAAGATTATTGTAATTTGTAGATAGTGGTTTATGCCGTATCATGGAATATATATATACATATATATATATATATATATATCGACTCGCGATTATTTCTTTATATTGTGTAAAGAAATATTAAAAAATATTTTGTACGTAAAAGAGAAAGAATAATTCAGCTAATAAATTGAGAGATCTAAATACGAAAATGAAATCATGATACCACTGTTGGTTAAATTTTCTATAGTGTTTTTTTTTCCTAAAACACACTATATACAATACCTTATTCTCCTGATCCTCCTCCTTTTTCTCTTTATTTCGTGATGAGTTGATCTCATTAAAATAATTAAGCACTTTATTATAAGCCATACAGTGATTTCCATACCCTTTTTTCAAATAATTATAGCATTCTTCTGCACTTTTTCCTATATTACTTAAAAACTTTAAGTTTATACGTTGCTCTAATTTTCTTTCCATGATTTCGATGTTGATTTTAAACACTTTAACAATCAAACGGTTATAACTTAAAAATGTAACTTAAAAATGAGATTTGAATCGTGTTATAATGATTGTTGTATAATGAATTAAACTATGTATCACAGAATATATCGATAAAATTTAAGCAATGGAACAATTCTTCTCAGATCGGTTTTAACAAGAAAATATGCAACGTAGTTCCTTGACGACACAATGAGGACTGAAGTAAGGATATATGAAAAAAAGGAAAAATTGTCTTTCTGTGGACCCTTTTGTCATAGAAATCGTACGGTTAAAAGATCAGCGCCTATAGCTGTTTGGCAGTGACAGGTATACCTACTACTTCCATAAGGTATACTATAAGGTATTCCATAAGGTATTCCAGAAACAAGTTTCCAGAAACATTTCGATTCTAGAACGAATTTGCATTGGCTCTAAATTGGTAACCCAGTAAAAGATAAAAATAAAACGACATCGATTCGACGTCATCTTTCACTGAGAACTGTCTAATTAGCATTTAAATTTTATAAAGTAATAGATAAAGTCCATATTGTAATTGTACATATATTGTTCGTTTAATCTCTCGTTGTCTTTCTATTGCTTGGTGTTTCTGCATGTGCATGTATAACATTTTAAAGAATTCATAATTATTTTTGCGAAAAAGATAATCTTTCTAATATGTAAAAAATTATTTAAATAAAAAACAAAAATAGAATCCGTATTTACTTTTAGAATCGCATTAGATATTTCGAGAGTCGTTATTGTTTTATATAGAACTGTCTAATTTTACATAAATAAATTCTTTGTATCATTTTTCTTATAAAAATATTTAGTTGAATCTAAAATTGATACCGCAATTTTAGAGATCATTAAATATATTTATCATATGCTTGTTTTATTAGAAGAAAATTTTATATTAACAGCTCTATTAATATTAATATTGATTAAATCAGATACACACATACACGTAAAACACATACATTCACAAAATATCTCTTATCTATCTATCATTAGAGCAATCTAAAAAGAAAGCAGTGATCGATGATGAATCAGGATAACAGAACTTATATCGATGCAACAAAGGCCACAAGTATCGCAGCATGTTTAAGCTACTAAGTTAGTCATCCTTTTTTAACAGATTAAAGAAAAAAAATTAGTCAAGTGATAGTGAAACAATCGTTATCAATGATCGATTCAGATTGTCATTGAAACAAAGTTTTGATACTTATATTCTATGTATTTAAATTTATACGGAGTGATTCATTTCTTTTGTCATCTCCGAGCCTCCGCAGCACGCATCACCATCGCCAGCCGAGAGTCGCGGCATTCCATGACTCTCAACTTTCGCCCTTCTTTTGTTTCCGATTTTAAGTTTTTTAAAGATAACATTTGTTTCTCCTCTTGCATTGACTTTAAGTGTTTCAGCAGCCGGTAGATGGCCGATTTTCTCGAAATTGAAGTCACTTTCAGATTCCTATAGATGCAAAACTGACCGACTCGTGGTTTTGAAACGAATGATATATTATTATAATAACAAAAGAAGGGCGAAAGTTGAGAGTCATGGTATGCCGCGACTCTCGGCTGGCGATGGTGATGCGTGCTGCGGAGGCTCGGAGTACGAGTTCAGACACAAAATGCCTTATAACTCGAGAAGGAGTAATTTCTCCAACTTGGAAGTAAGAAACTTTTTTGTTGGAAAAATTGTCTTCTTTTTTTTCATATTTTTTAAATTAAAATCTAAGATGTCTTTTTTTGAGAAAAATCGAATTTTAATGTTAATTTTGCAAAATATCGAAAAATTAATGTTTTTCTTTAAACATTCATAATATATTATTAAAGTACGTAAAAAATGCTTCAAGAATCACTGGTCGTTTTTTAAAATCGGTGCTGTTCACTAGAAATTATAGAAGTGAGAAGTTTGACATAACGTTCTCAACGCCGAAACTTTGAGCCTCTGTAAGTAGACAACGCGTTGCACAAATACCGTAAAAATTGCTGTGAGTTATCATGGTTGATAGAACAATAGATTGTGCAAATTTCAGCCCGATCGGAAAAAGAAATTTTTTTGGGTGGATCACTTCGCGTGGAATGCCCCATATATGAAACTCAGCATACCGTAAAGGCTATAATAGATATCATAAAATTTTCTTCAACTATTGATTTTAAATCAAGATTGATATTGAAAAAAAATATTACAAAATATTATAAAATATTTACTAATGGAAATATTTATTTTGATGAAAGACTTTGAATTTTAATATAATTGTATATTAAAAATTTCATGCAATAATAGTAGAAATTTTTAATATTATTAGTTGCCTA